TGCACCTGTAATAATAACATTGTGGGGGGGGGGGGGTAATTAAATATTTTGGGGGGTTATTATTGTAAAATGTCACTTTTCAAAAAGGGTGCAAGACCTACAATCGTGCCAAATTTCAGATCTCCAGTTAATCTAGAAATGGGCAAACGTAATTAAGACCGATGCACCTGTACTAATAACATTGGGGGGAGGGGGAGGATTCAATATTTTGAGGGGGAGGTTATAATTTTAAAATGTCACTTTTCGTAAAGGGCGCAATACCTACTATCTTGCCAAATTTCAGATCTCCAGTTAATCTAGAAATGGGTAAACTGGATTAAGACCGATGCACGATGCATCTGTAATAATAACATAGGGGGGGGGGGGTTTCAATATTTCAGGGAGGGGAGGATATTATTGTAAAATGTCACTTTTCGAAAAGGGCGCCAGACTTTCAACCGTGCCAAATTCCAGACCTCTACCTAATCTGAAGGTGTCGGGTAGAAGAGCCAAACGAACTCGGATAAGAAAAATAAAATTTAACTTTCATAAGAAATCCATGGGTAGCGAATTTCATTTACGTTTAAGCCAAGTGGGATTATAGATAAATATATGCTGATGCTTGATGGCTAATCTGTGGGTGCATACCTTCAATTTGAGACCTCAATCATGAAAATCGGTCCAGTATAGAAGAGCCAAACGAACTCGGAAAAGAAAACCCAAATTTAACTCCCATAAGAAATACATAGGGAGTGAATTTCGTTTACATATAAGCCGAGTGGGATTAAAGAAAAATATATGCCGATGCTTGATGGCAAATCTGTGCCTGCATACCTTCAGTTTGAGACACCAATCATGAAAATCGGTACGAACTCTGAAAAGAAAAACCAATTTTTTTAAATCTAAATATATAAAAGGCAAAGCCCTCACTGACACACTCACTCACTCACTCATCACTAATTCTCCCACTTCCCATTTACCTAGGAGGCTGAAATTTGGTACACCGATTCTTTAGGCATTAAATAGGAAAACTAAGTTGTTTTTATTCTGATCGGACTCTCGGGCTCCGCCCCAGTGGCTCTGGAGTTTCCCATGTTAACCTTATGATTTTTCATATTTAAAAGGAATTAATGAATCTTATCAGCTGTTTCAATTAAACAAGTTGGTTCTGTTGGTTCTATGATGTTCAATAGCTTTAAAGTTACAAGGATTGCCAACAGGGTGCAGCACTATTATTATTTTTTTAATTTATGACAACAGCTAATTTGCAACCAAAAGGTGAGTGAGCGTAGCGAACGAACTTCAACCTGGAGGCGAGTTAGCGTAGCGAACGAGCTAGCCTGAAGGCAAGTGAGCGCAGCGAACGAGCTCCAACCTAAAGGTGAGTGAGCATAGCGAACGCACTTCAACCAGGACGTTCGCGTTTGAGTCATGCGAACGAGCTCATCTTGAAAATTAAGAAGGTAAACGGGGCAAAGCCCGCGGGTACAGCTAGTACGGTATATAAGATGAATTTTTTAGAATCAGAGAATGGTGTTTGGAATGCTAAGAAACAGAAAATTAGTGGTTTGTTGGCAGGTACAGCTAGTAATGATTCTGTGAACGTTTCACAAGTTCCAAAAATGGAAGCTTACTATTGGGATTTTTATAATAAAAGGTTAGTATGTGTTAAACCTGCCATTGATGGGACTATTGTGTTATAAAAGAACAGACAAACAATTTATAAGGAATCTACCAGAGAGGGAATATTTGGATGACATTGTGGATATTTTGATAATATCTTTTTGATGATAAAATTTAAATATGGGAAAAACATTTAATTTGATGGAATACAATCCTGATTTATTAGTTGCCGACCCCACATCTATGAGTGGATTTATGTATATAAATAATAGAATATATACACCAGAAAACTATGTATTTAAAAGGAAAGAAGATAATCTATTGGTTGGGGCTAATGGTAAAATATTTAGTAGTACTGTTATAAAAAATTTATAAAATTGCATACCGTACAAACTTCTTAAGCATGCAAGAAAGAATTTTTTTAGAAGGTCTTTTAAAGTAGTTGTTCAGTAAACTTCCTTTATGTTTTCATGTCATCTATATTTCATAATCTTTGGCTCAATTAATTTCTTAAATATTTTGCTTTCAAACATATGTTCATGAAATTAAATTATTTCCCTATTATTATATTGGTGACATATGTTGTATATGAATGTAAATAAAACAGTGCTTGTTCTCCTATCCCAAAAGTGTGTTCATTTTTTTCTCCCTCTTATAATCTCCATTTAATTTCATTCTCTACAAATCATTCATTGGTCCTAATCGAGCCTGGATTTTGAATTTCAGTCTTTGGATTCAATTTTCAGAACACTTTCAAGCTATCGAAATATCTTTATTTTATCATTCAATCTCTTTATGTTTCTCCCCACTCTCACAGTGTCACAAACTCTATCTAATTCTTAGTAAAGTTTCACTCCCTCTGTTTTGTCCAACATGGCTACCAGATCAATTTCACTCTCAAACTTTAACAAATCAACCCTTCTCATCCAAAATTCTTTTGAAAAGATTCTCAAATCTGTCCAAGAGCTTGAAACACTTTCCCCCTCAATCTTGTCAGTGATACAAATCAGAACTTTAAACAACTTCTCGAAACAGTTAGAAAAGAAACATGAAGCCTATGAAAATTACCTGGAAAGAGCCTTGGAACATATTTCAGAAGAATTAGATTTGGATGCAGTAAGTGACACTGAAGACAAACTGCGACTTTTATTCGTCGAAGCAAAGTCTCGGATTGAAGCCCTTCTCCAACAGCAGCCACAAGATGTTCCAGAAGAAAATAAAGATTCAACAAGAATTAGTGACATCTCAGCTTCATCATCTGCTCACGTAAGACTCCCAAAACTAGACCTCATCACGTTTGATGGTTCTCCTCTACAGTGGGTAAGTTTCATCAACTTATTTGACACAAGCATCCATCTGAATGAAAGCATTTCAAACGTCACTAAATTTCAATATCTTCTCAGCGTGCTCAAAAATGAACCACTAAATCTCGTAAAAGCTTTCAGTATCACTTCAGCCAATTACTCAATTGCCTATCAGCTCCTCAGAGACAGATACCACAACACCCGAAGGTTAACTACACTTCACCTAAACAAACTGATCGACCTACCGGACATTTCCTCTAACTCAAACAAATGTCTCAGAACGTTCTTCAACTTGTTTTATGAACACACAGAAGCACTTAATTAAAGCTCTTGACTGTGACATTACTTCTAACTCTAACCCTCTGTTGTCCACCATACTCTTACGAAAACTAGACAATGACCTTCTAAAACAACTAGAGGCTTTTAGAATTAATCTAAAATGCGAAACACATTCTCTACCAAAAGTAGTCGAAATAGTCAAGTTTCTTAATCAAGAGTGTAACCAAATGGAAGACACTGTGTTACATACCAAGTTTGCTCAAAGTACGAACAACCACAATTCAAATTTTAAACCCAAATCTTTCATATCCAAGCCCTCTTTCATTCAAGCTCAGAAAGTTACAATGGTCTCTACTCCAACTCCATCAAATCAAGACAACTCAAAAAATCTTTTCTCATTTCCCTGCTTTGTCTGCTCATCAACTGGCCACAAGGTTTATGCTTGTCCTAGCTTTCTTTCTCTTTCTTCAAATGAACGTTTTAAAACCGTAAAGGACAACAACAGATGTGTGTCTTGCCTCGGAAAACATGATGTTAAAGCATGTAAGTCTAAAGCATCTTGCTTCAAATGCCACAAACGTCATCACACCTTACTTCATTTTGAACATGACAAGACATCTCAAGGTTCTACATTATCACAACCATCAACCACTCATGTTTTGAATGAAAAACCTACCGTATCTCTTTGCTCACAGGAAGCCAGTCCCGCTAATCAAATCCCTAAAACTGTAATTTTAGGCACAACACTGGTTAAAGTTACTGCTCAAAATAACGTTTCTCATGTGTTCAGAGCATTGATTGATAGTGGCAGCATGTGTGATTTTATTAGTGAAAAATCTGCTCAACTACTGAATGCACCTCGTTTCAAATCCAACTTACAAGTAGTTGGTCTTTCTCAATCTCCAACTCTCACAAAGGGTATTGTGAACCTCACTGTTAACACACTGGCAGGAAAATTAGTTGCATCCAACCATGAAGTGCACATACTTGATAAAATATCTGTCAATCTCCCTAGATCTCAAATATCACAAAGAGTTCTATTGAAAGTAAAACCTTACCCCCTTGCTGATCCCAGCTTCCACTTATCAGGGCCCATTGACATGCTGATCGGAGCTTCTCTCTTCCCTCTTCTTTTAACGAATGAAAACTATTCTCTCGGCCCTAACATGCCTAACATGATGGGAACTCACTTTGGCTTTGTTGTTATGGGAAATGCACCTTGTTCAACCGATTCCCAGCCTGCCAACACTCCATCCATCTCTCTGCTCTCAACGGTTGACAACGAATTGCATAACTCTACAGAAATTTTGGAAATTAGAGGAATTATCTGTACCCTCAAAGATATCGGTTGAAGAGCAACAGTGTGAAGATCTGTTTAAAGCTACCCACTCTAGGGACGAAAATGGCCGTTACTTAGTTCAGCTACCATTTAAAGAAAATCATCCACCTTTAGGATCTTCCAAACTCATCGCAGAACGACGTTTTCACTCACTTGAACGACGTTTTGCACTCTCTCCTGATTTGTATAAAGCTTACTCTGACAATATAAATGAACACATCTCTCAAGGTCATATGGTAAAACTACCTCATCTAGATATCAACTCTCCTCACTATTTCTTGCCACACCATGCAGTTGTGAAACCATCCAGTACCTCAACTAAACTCCGAATCGTTTATGATGCAAGCTGCAAAACCAGCTCTGGAATTTCCCTCAATGATTCTCTCATGACCGGCCCTAAATTACAGACCAACATTTGTGATATATTGCTACATTTCAGAACACACAATATCGTTTTCACTTGCGATATTTGCCAAATGTATCTTCAAATCTTAATCAAACCTTCCGATCAACTGTTCCAACTCGTCTTGTGGCGTGACAATCCCTCTGAAGATATATCCACATACAAACTCACTCGAGTGACTTTTGGAGTAAATAGCTCACCCTACTTAGCGATTCGTACCCTCCACCAGTTAGCTGAAGACGAAGGTAAAGACTTCCCTGAAGCAGCAAATGTCTTGCGCACTCAGACTTACGTAGACGACATTGTAACTGGAGCAGACACGGTAGATGAAGCAAAGAACCTTCAAAATCAACTCATTCAACTACTCAACCGTGGCCACTTTGAACTTCGAAAATGGACTTCAAATTCTCCCGAGCTTCTTCAGTCTCTTCCAGACACTCATAAAGACTCTCCAGTCTTTCTTGAAAATACACCTGATCCCCATTTCTCAATTCTTAGCCTACACTGGTCTCCAGACTCGGACAATTTTTCATTTCATCTCAACCTACCGCCAAAAACACTAACTAAACGTCACGTTCTCAGTCTAGTCGCTAAAATATACGATCCTTGTGGATTTCTTAGCCCATGTACTATGACAGCGAAATGTTTTATTCAACTTCTCTGGACGACCGGTCTACAATCCAAGAACTTAGTGCAATTTGGAGTAACTTTATCTCAGCGATACCAGCACTTGCAGACATTCAGATCCCTAGAGCATTGAAAATCTCTCCAAATTCTAGTGTTGAACTTCACGGCTTCTCAGACGCCTCTGAACGGTTTTCAGCTGTTGTCTATGTACGATGTTCCCAACCCAACGGAGAAGTGACTACACGTATGGTTTTATCCAAAACTAGAGTCGCCCCACTCAAGAAGGTGACTCTTCCACGATTAGAACTCTGCGCTGCCCACTTATTAGCTCAACTCGTAAACTTCTGTTGTTCTTCATTCAAACCCTTAATTTCACTCAACCAATGTTATTTGTGGTGTGATTCTTCAGTAACCTTGAAATGGCTTCAAACTCCATCTTACAGGCTGAAAACATTCGTGGCTAACAGAGTCGCCCAAACACAAGAACTTGTCCCCTATCACTGTTGGCTTTACATCCCTAGCAAGGAAAACCCTGCTGATTGTGCTTCAAGAGGTATTCTAGCCACTGAGCTTGTGTCTCACCCCCTTTGGTGGTCAGGGCCTTCTTGGCTTTCTCTCCCCCCTTCAAACTGGCCTGATGTAACTTTTTCACCTACAGATATCTCAACATTAGATGAAGTAAAACACACTCCTCTAGCCGTACTTGTGTCAACTACTACTGAATCTACGCTGACCAATCTTCTCATTAAATATTCTTCATGGGAACGACTACTTAGGATTTTTGCTTACGTCCTTCGTTTCATACACTACTGTAAAGGTTCTGAAAAACGCCAAGGTTTCATCTCAACACAGGAACTGAAAGACACAAAATATCACATTTTTAAACTGGTACAAAAAGAAGTATTCACAGAAGAAATCAACTGCCTCAAAAGGAAATCATTTTGCTCCACTCGCTTACAACGTCTTTCACCTTTCATTGACTCATTTGGATTATTGCGTGTTGGAGGACGTCTTTCTCGGACATCACTTCCTGAAGATGCTCGACATCCCATTATTCTGCCAAAAAAACATCATGTGGTAAATCTCCTCATTGACCACTACCATATCTACAATCTTCATTCAGGCCCTCAGCTTACTCAAGCATTACTTTACAAACATGTTTGGATACTGTCTGCCCGTTGTGCCATACGCTCTCGTATCCATAAATGTGTCAGATGTTTCAAAGTCAAACCTAGAAATGTGTGTCCTCTCATGGCTGATCTCCCTCAGTCTCGTGTAACTCCTGCTCGACCTTTCCTCCACACCGGCATAGATTATGCAGGGCCTTTTACTGTTAAAATCTTCAACCTCAAGGCAGTGAGACACATAAAGTCATACTTTTGTACTTTCATCTGCCTCGTCACGAAAGCTGTACATTTGGAAGTAGTAACAGACCTAACGACTGAATCTTTCATTGCTGCAATGACTCGATTTGTATCTCGCAGAGGACATTCTTCCGACATTTACTCGGATTGTGGGTCCAACTTCATTGGTGCTGACTCTACCCTACGCAAGATTGTTGAAAAATCTCTTTATTGTCAAGACTCCAAACGGAAGATTCAACGATTCTCTTCACTTAAAGGCATCGATTTTCATTTTAATCCACCAGCCGCTCCGCATCAAGGAGGATTGTGGGAATCGTCTGTAAAGAATGTGAAACATCATCTCCGTCGAGTAATGGGAAACTCAGTCTTAAGAATTCATCACATTGTTGACCCAAATCGAAGCAATGCTCAATTCCCGACCACTGACACCTCTTTCAAATGATCCTTCGGATCTCGCAGCACTGACTCCCGGACACTTCCTGATTGGTGCACCCCTCACAGCAGTACCTGAACCTAATCTCCTGACAGTTCCTGAAAACCGTCTCAAGCAATGGCAGCTAGTTCAAGCATTTCATCAACGCATATGGCATAGATGGCACCTAGAATACTTAAACAACTTGCAACAACATACCAAGTGGACTCGGAAATCAAAAAATCTTGAAGTGGGTGACCTTGTTCTGGTACATATGGACTCACCACCTCTCTCGTGGCCTCTCGCTCGAATTACAGCAGTTCATCCTGGGGCTGATGGGGTTGTGCGAGTGATAGACTTAAAAACATCAAGTGGCAACCTCAGAAGATCTGCCCACAAAGTGTTTCCCCTGCCAACTGTGGATTCGTGAACTGTTTCTATTGAATCCACTGGGGATTCAAGGCCCCCGGTATGTTCAGTAAACTTCCTTTATGTTTTCATGTTATCTATATTTCATAATCTTTGGCTCAATTAATTTCTTAAATATTTTGCTTTCAAACATATGTTCATGAAATTAAATTATTTCCCTATTATTATTTGGTGACATATGTTGTATATGAATGTAAATAAAACAGTGCTTGTTCTCCTATCCCAAAAGTGTGTTCATTTTTTTCTCCCTCTTATAATCTCCATTTAATTTCATTCTCTACAAATCATTCAGTAGTGATAAACGGAACGGTACAAATAGATTAAATTGACATGCAAAACTAGCTAGAGAGAATTCTAGTAATAAATATATTTTAACTTTAATAGATACATTTTCTAAAAAGGCCTATGCTGCTCCACTAAAGAATAAGACGGGGTTGGTAGTTACAGAAGCTATTAAGACCATTCTACCAAAGGGGGTTAAAAACATTCAATCTGACAATGGAAAAGAATTTTTAAATGTACATTTTAGCAAACTAATGAAAAAAATATATATATTAATCATTACCGGTATCACATTTTTTTTACAACTAAGGCTGAAATTGTGGAAAGGTTGAAGGTTCCAGAGAACTTTAAAGAATTGGTTATATAGGGAATTTAGTGTTCACAGGGGAGTTATAAATGGTTGGATTTACTTCCAAAGTTAACTAGAAAATATAATAATAAGGTGCATAGGTCTATAGGAATGTTGAACCAAGTGAATGTTAAAAATAGAAAATATGTGCATGAGAGGTTGACTTCTAAAGTGCAAGTTAAAAAGCCAAGATTTAAGGTGGGTGATAGCGTAAGGATTTCCAAGTAGGCATAAACATGTGTTTAGTAAAGGATAGACCCCAAATTGGACAGGGGAGCTATTTACAATAGCAGAAGTTAAGAATACAAAGTCTGTGACTTATATTTTGAAAGATGAAAATGGCAATATAATCAGGGGAGGGTTCTATACAGAGGAGTTATTAAAGACCAAGTATAAAGACATGTATTTGGTAGAAAAAGTGATTAGAAGGAATAAGGGTGATTTGTTGTATGTAAAATGGCTTGGGTTCCCAAGTGGCCAGAACTCATGGATTTCCACAAAGAATGTTCAGAAGCAAGCCTAAGGGAGCGGCATTTCACCCCCGCCTATCACGAATGTGTCACTGGGGACGTGAAGCATGAGCCGGGAGCGTGTAATCGTCAGATTTAAGCAGACATTCCTTCTCCATTGGGGTCAGATGGTCTATGTTGTTCCCACGAATACCGGGTATCTAAGGTCCACCTCCCCAGTGACCCGATTAGAGAGGTAAGGGGTACATTCGACTGGGTTCCCCCTGGTTTCCAGAAGGCTCCTTTAAGACACTGAATATTAGGCCCCCAGTGCCATAAGACTCTCAGCACGGATTGCATTACACCTTAGTCTAGAGCCCCCCTCACTTGGTTCTGTAGGTGGACCAAGAGGCAGAAGGTAGCTCTCCGCAGCTAACAAGTGAGAGTTGGAGTTTAGGTGTGGCCAATCTGCCGAACCAACCCCGCATGCAAGGTTTGGTCGGAACGGCGCAAAAGGTTCTTCCACTCACTAAACCCCCATACCTTCCTACTAGGTGCTTTATTACTATTGATTATATCTCATATTGCCTTTGACTTATTTTCCGAAGAATTGATTTTCTTAAGAGTCTCACCGGATTTCCGATCTTTTATAGCCTTGCAATAATACATTTTCAGGTTATTATAATATTGCCTTAGGGGATGTTCAGAATCGTAATTTATCATAAGTAATTCATTCAAGCTCAAATTAATTCATTTAATTGATCGCAAGGACAATAATGTGTAACTGTAAATTAAAATAATCATCATCCAGGTCAGGAACCTGGAGATTCTATAATATGCTTCTTTGGCTGGTAATAATTATTGTAATGGAGAGGAGTCTACATATAGACCTCAGTGGTCTGGGCGTAGTCTCGAGTTGTTAAAAGTTATGAGTTTAAAAAAATCTGAACTAATTTGCTGTTTGAAGAAAAAAGTTTTAAAATGAAAAAAAGGGTTACTATGTGCTATGGGAACGTGATTTAAAGATATAATACAACATGAAAAGAAATATTCATTAAAATGTTTATCAACAGAAGATGTTTAGCGGGGAAGCCAATAAAAAAGAATGGAAAAGAATTATGTTGGTTATAAGAGTTTGCAGAGGCCATGTCCTTCCAGTGCTGTCAGTCAGTGGCAGGTCGCCTGTTATCAGTAGAGAAAAGAGCCTCGGCCTCTTCATCGCTAATATCCAATAACAACCTATTTACTTGATTTTGAATACACATAATGTAGGTGAACTAAATAACTTAGTCGCTTTATACATATAGAAATAATTCCTGAACAAAATATGTGCCATGTAAGTAGGGGCAATAGGGCAAAGAGACATCACTTGAGGCGTTTCCCCCCCCCCCCCCAAAAAAAAAATAACATGGAGATAATTTTTTAGCCACTTTTTCAAAAATCCTTATCTTTGCCTATACATAAGTTATCTATACAAATGTTCAATAGTACTGTACAACTCCATTAACATTTCAAATCCACATCCAGTCCCATATAATCTTATTTTCAATATCACGCGAGATTTGCAACACAACTCGGGCGCGCTCCCGGCTCATGCTTCACGTCCCCAGCGGTGACACATTCGTGATAGGCGGCGGTGAAATGCCGCTCCCTTAGGCTTGCTTCTCAACATTCTTTGTGGAAATCCATGAGTTCTGGCTACTTGGGAACCCAAGCCATTTTACATACAACAAATCACCCTTATTCCTTCTAATCACTTTTTCTACCAAATACATGTCTTTATACTTGGTCTTTAACAACTCCTCTGTATAGAACCCTCCCCTGATTATATTATCATTTTCATCTTTCAAAATACAAGTCACAGGCTTTGTATTCTTAACTTCTGCTATTGTAAATAGCTCCCCTGTCCAATTTGGGGTCTATCCTTTATTAAACACATGTTTATACCTACTTGGAAATCCTTACCCTATCACCCACCTTAAATCTTGGCTTTTTAACTTGCACTTTAGAAGTCAACCTTTCATGCACATATTTTCTATTCTTAACATTCACTTGGTTAGGCTTCATTCCTATAGACCACTGCACCTTATTATTATATTACCTATCTAATTAACTTTGGAAGTAAATCCAACCAATAGGATTTTATAAAAACATCCGGTTTTGATTTAACATAGTATGTTATGGTCCTTACAATTGTGATAGTTATTTTTCATTTTCTATAAATTTTGATTTTTAATGGGGATTTTCCCATAAAACCCCATAAAATAACAGAAAAATAGGATTTTCCCAAAAATGGCCCGAACGATTTTGATAAAAATTTAGTATGTTATAGTCCTTTATATTCTGAACAAAATGGTATAAATCTCATTCCTGTACAAATTACGGTTCAAAAGTTATTGTAAATTATGTTATTTTCCCCATAAAAACCCCATAAAATAACGGAAAATAGGATTTTCCCAAAAACGGCCCGAACAATTTTGATAAAAATTTAGTATGTTATAGTCCTTAAATTCTGAACAAAACTGTACAAATCCCATTACCGTATATCTACTCTTACCGCTTACACATGATAAAGGTTGTTGACAAACTTGTGGGAGAAAGTATGTGTCATAATGCTGATACCGTTTTTTATTTTCTGTTTATTTATCGTTGTTATTTCGTCAACAGCATGGCAACCCATAACGGGTTTAAATTAATTTGTTGTGCTTATTTTTGAGACTATGTTTTAATTTTTGAAGGGATTCTACACATTTCTAACAGTATGCGTAGATTTTACCTGCGATGCACACAAGCTGAGAACTGTGAAATCCTCAGTTCTCTACAGATAAACATTTGGTTACATTTTTACATTTTGTAACACATGTTACGTTTTGTACCTATTCATTTATTGAATTAAATGAATAAAAAATGATTCTTTACTGTCTGGTTTTAAAGAAACACGCTTGCTTATATTAATATAATATAAATCTAAGACTTGCTAAAATATTGATTTAATGACATATATATTAATATAGATTGTTTGAATCATCAACACATTTTGTTACATTTTAACATTTTCTAACACATGTTACCTTTTGTATTCTTACTGAATTGAAATAATGATTAGCTAATAAATACTTGACAGTAAAATACATATTTAATATTAATATTAACAGTAATATCCCTATAATGAATTTAACAGTTTGATTACGTTCAGTTTAATTTTTTTTTCAAGATTTTTTTTTATTCCAACATATTTATTACAAAACAATGTTACAAATACAAAATACTACAATGTATTTCTAAATTAACATTAAAAATTTAATTTTAGAACTAGAACTAAATTAAATAATTTACAATAACAAAACAAAAATACAATTCAAACAAATAAGAAAAAATATGTGGTTTATCCATATGATTATGTTAATTCAATGTTAAAACCTTTTACAACACATTCAACAATTCTGACTCTTGGGCCTATAACTACCTATTTGACCTCACAAGTTTATCAAGCAAAAAATTACAAAACTTTTGATTCATATTTGACAAACACTAAACACTCAGTCACTCCCTTTGATAAGGAAATGAGACATATATTATCACCCTGCCAAAAATAATTTCCCATGAGTAATAACAACTGATTAAGATGATTCACATTTCTAGAATGGACCTTTCCTCAAGGGCAGCTGATTGAATTTATTTGTTTAATTGTCTATCAAACTGCTGAGAGAAAAGAATGTGTTTTTCTCTCAAGTTCTCTTTTAATCCATTAAATTTGTAATTAAATTTACTCCTAGCGAGAAAGTTGTGGGGTAGTTTTGATTTTTTCCATTTTCTATGTATTTTGGGGTGTTGAATCCAGCGAGCACATAATAATAATAATAATAGAGAGGACACGGCGTTTAACCAAATGCACTGAAAGTGTGGCCAAATCCGCCATCT